TGGATTTAAACTGTGGTGATATTTTCACAACTTTGTGAATATATAAAAAATGCTGAACTGTACACTTTAAAAGGATGAATTTTATGGTATGTGAATTATATCTCAGTTTAAAATATTAGTTCTAGAGGGCAAAGCAGGTAAGAGTGCCAGGTTCTGCTGGAAATTTCATGGTGGCTTTCCCATTGTCCTCTCCACCTGAGCACATTCTTTTAACCTTTTCCAAATTTCAAAGCCTATCTTTAGGTCAATAGGTGACTAGCCACCTTCCTTTTCCCTTAAACATATATACAGAGTTTTGGATATGTGCTATCTATTCTACCAACTCCTTTCATTTATATAGGTACATTTATTCAGTTATGATTTTATATCTACTTGATTCTATCTCTGGGTTTGTAGCTATGTCCTGGGTTTATTTCTTATCTCCCCAGAGAGCTCTCTAAAAATAGTAACTTTGTCCTATCATTCTTCTTTTCTTTCCACACTGTCTCTGGCAAAGCTTTGTGTACAGGAAAGGTGCTCAGAACTTAGTTTAAAACCATCCTTCCAAATGTCTGGAAATCAGGTTTTGTGCTAGGTCTTCTGTTGTGGAAATGGAAATACAGCTGATTCTGAGAGGAGGCAGGGCTGTCTAGACAGACTGGGCTCACAGAGATTTAAATAATCCCAGCCCTCTCATTTCTGTACTTTCAGAGTATCCCCAGGGCTTGCAAAGATTTTCTAGAGATGGCATCTACTCTTCTCTCATATGTAATTACTTAAGAGAGCAAAGTCCAAATTGGCTCTAGTGGATCCACAGGCGTAGGTGATGGAGGGCGAGGGATGAGGGTCGAGGTGTCTTCCCAGGTACTAGGTACCCTAGGGAGACTAAGGCATTAGAGTCAGGCCACTGTGGCTTCTTCTAGAAAGGCAAGATACTCCTTTGCATATACACATCCAATGTCCAAATGTCTGGTGCCTTTTCGGGAAAACCTGATTTCAAGATGTTTGCATCAAGATTGTTCATCTGACCGACAATGCCCCACTCCTGCTTCTTCCTAGAGGAGAGAATACCATAATATGACTGCTATGTGCCAGGCATACCTTAATCCTCACAGCAATATATATTATCATCTTCGTTTTGCATATGAAGGGACTGAGGCTCAGAACAGCTAAATAACCTAATACCAAGGTTATATAACTTATGTGCTTGGGGAGTGGAGTAGGTCTGACTCTAAGGCCCATGATTTTTAAACTACAACAGCTGTTCTCAAATTGTGTTCAGAAGGTTCCCTGGAAGCTGCCACAGGGCAGAAGCCCAGTGGTCAAGGTTTCCTGTTTCCACACACGTTGGCTGAAAAAGCCACATGTGTCTGTTTTGGATATTGGAGTTACATGAGTTAAAAATAAGATTGCAAAGAACCACATTATGTTATGCTGACCTGCTTCTACTTTGGATTTTCTAAGAATCAAGAAAATCTTACTCTACTCTCAATCTAATGGCACCCCAGGGCCCAGCAGAAAGGAATTGTCTTAAATGAGAAAAAATTGTGTAGTGGACCAATTTCCTGGCTCATTCACCAAGTTAAGGTTTTCTTAACCTGGTTATATCCTTTGTGCCTTTTCAATTCTTCACCCTGTTCACAGGGTCTCCCTATACCCCCAATCCTGCTCCTCTCTGACCACCCCTCCCCCACCCCCACCTACCTACTGAGTCAGGAGCCAGGAATGTCTGTGGGGGCAGCAGACAGGTATGTCATACTGGGGGTGTCAGAAGCTGATTCATCTCTCATCTCCACCCAATCTTCTCCTTACCGCTCTCTGGGAAAGTTAACTCTTTTGAGATAAAAGAGAGAGATCCCAGACTCTGAACAGTGTCTTCAATCTGTGGTTAGGTATAGTACTTAATAAGATCATGATATTGAATAAATATTTGTTGAGAAGGAAGGAAGGAAAAGGAGGAAAACATATTCCTCCCCATGTCTGTTTTTTTTTAATTTTTTTTTTTAATGCCTACAAGCACCTGGTATTCCAAGGTGGTCTCCCATCCAAGTACTAACCAAGCCTGACCCTGCTTAGCTTCCGAGATCAGCCGAGATTGGGCACATTCAAGGTGGCATGGCAGTAGACTCCCCCCCAATTTCTTCCTCCAGAGTAGTTAACCTGTAATTTTCTTGTCTTATGGTAAAGGGGACTGATTTTTAACTCAGAATAGATTGTGTGATCGCCGGTATGTATTATGAGTTGGGAGAATGTCCCAATGTCCCTTCTGTGCAGTTTCTATGGTTCCACAGAGCAATGTGGAAGCTCCAGAATATATAGAAAGTGTGAAGGGAGCTGTATTTGTACAGCAAGAATACTGCTTGTGATTTTGTTGATTGGGGATGGCTTTGAAGAAGCCTTTCATCTCCCTCCTCGACTGCGTCAGTGTTTTGGATGGGGAAAAAAATGAAAACTTTGTTATGTATTCTAGTCTAGAGCATTTTTATCAATACTCACCTTTTTTTCATCTTAGTTGGGCTCTAAATCCTGCAATGGGTTGTAAATGAGACTTATGGCTTCCCCTGTCCTCAGCAGGCCTGATGCTGTTGAGATACGTGCTAATTTGGGACTCTTCCTTCTAAAGGGGACGGAAAGAAGAGAGGGCAGCTCAGACTAGCCTGGGTAAGGGCTCAATGATCAGGGGAAAGAGAGAAGAAAAGGGAAGGGACAGGAAGGTGGCTACTCAGCTTGCTAGAGGGTTTCCCTCTAGGAGGCTGGGGGCAGTTGGGCCTCCATTCTGCTTTCAAAAACAGGGTGGGCCTTGGTAATGCTGAGATGGGTCTGAAGTCACTCTCCTCCCCTACTCAGGAGCCTTGAGAAAGGACAGAGAATATCCTAGACCGAACTTCCCCTAGACCTTAATGAAGTCAGGCTTCCTAGTCTCAGCCAACTAGGAGTGAGCATTTCGCTAATTCAGAAACAGCTGAGAGCAGACTGACTATGCTTCAGCTCTGTGGACTTTAGGGTGTCACCCTTGCTCTTAAGCTTGATAAGTTACAAACACTATCTTCCAATTGCTGGGGTCCCCAATTCAGAGCCAGGAAATGCATCTATCCTAATGTCAGTGGTTAATGGAAATGACCAAGAAAGTCCCTTCTTAGGTACTAAAAGAGGGTTTCCTCCCTCTAGAAGTTGTTCACAATTTGCCATGTGAGGTCTGGAGGAGAGAACTTTCAGACAGTATCTGTGAGATGTAGAATGGTGCTTTTCTGTAAAGCATTTTGGCAATGTGAACCCAGAACCTGCAAAATATCAGCCATTTCATTCCTATGATTCTGTAGTAAGTTAAGTCAGAGACTTAGACAAATATTTTGGTACAAAGATGTTAATCATGGCACTACTTACAACAGTAAAAAATTGGCAATGACTTATAGGCTAACCATGGGCATCTGGATAGGTAAACAATGTTATAGCCATACCAGAGAATATTATCATGTAAACATTAAGAAGGTCTTTATATATCTTTAATTACATGAAATAGTGTTAACTAAAAAAAGGTTAGAAAGCAATTACATTATCTCACTTATACAAATGCTATGTAACTATCCCTCTGCATGTATAAAAAAATACACAAAATATATAAATAGAAAATTTATTATAGATTATATTTTTCTGTTATGAGATTGAGTCTAATTCTATTTTTAATCAGGAAATTGAAAAAAAAAAATCTTAAAGGTGGTTGCCATATCCCACCCATGCTGGAGGATGCTCTTTCTCCTCCCCTTTGCATTTCACAAGAACAGACCTGGAACCCAGACGTCTCTTCTTTTCTGCATTGTGTTGTCCCCTCCGAAATGATGACAATCATTCTGCTGTCATTGGGAGGTTTACAAACTTCATTTACTAGAGGAGAAATGCCCATGCTGTCACTCCAAGGCCTATAAATAAAGTTTTGGATTATTTCCATCCTTCTCCACTCTGTGACTGCAGAAAATTAAAGCTGAGGGTGCTTGGATATGAACCCACGAAGTTCTAAATGACAACTTATTTCCAACTGGTTTGCTTTAGTGAAGAGCTGAGGCCTCTGTGATGGGGTAAGCTTGAAAACCCACGACCATAGCTACTGGTATGGGTTTTAAAAACACAGTCCCATCCTCATGTCCTAACTGATGAGAGATTTGTCCAGCAGCCTGGGCGTCTGGATTTCTGGGCTCCAGGCCCTACAGGTGACTCACAGCCAGCCCCAGGCTGGCCTCAGTTACCCTGGCTTGCTATGTTGATACTCCCCACCTACCTTGCAGGGTGTTAATAGGAGTGAGGAGCTTTGAACTCCTCAGATGAAAGAGGCTGGGGAAGCAGCATCCAATTATTATCCCCTCTAAGGTCAGGCGTGGGAGCAGAGGTTGGCTGCTTCATACTGTTCCAGCCACAGGAGCCTCCTCAAAACCCATCTCTGTTCTGGCTGCCCAAACTGGAAGCAAAGCTCAGTCATCGCCATATCAATGCCTATTCAGAATAGATTTTCCTAAACTGAATTATTCAACTGCTCAAACCATCAGTGTCCTATCTTCCCCTTGATGATTCAGTAATGCTCTACAGGTGTCTATTCTGACTGGCTACAAAAAAGAAAAAAAAAATCCTGTGGATACTGTCTGTGACTTTTCAGCATTAAGTACTCACGATTAAGAAGTCAGCAAAGTGGACTATGAGAGAACCAAGCTGACCGAAGTTCAAATTTATCTGTTTCCTCACTGTAAAGTTAGGGCCTCTTGAGAGTCCCCCATCTTGTCTGTATCTCTAGGAGATGCTGTGTGAACCACATGAGAACCATGTGTGTAAAAGCACTTGATAAAATACCAAGTCCTCCATGTGTGTTAACAGGACAGAGTGTCTGCAAATAAGACTTCTGGCACAACTGCTATCTGTTCCCTTGTGCAGTCGAGCTACAACTGCAAAAATAAGCCTGGGATGCCACCTATTGGTTGAAAATATGAAATACATTCAACCAGCTGCAAAAAGAGCAAAGGAAGCAAACACCAATATTTCCATCTTCAAACATTTTCTTAATTTTTGCCACGCCCCTCATGTCACATTATATACATTTTTCTTTAAACAACTCACGTCATATGAAGAACATTTTAAAGTCCTTTTAATCACTACTATAAATGGAAAACTAGTTAGCACTTGCTAAAAATAGAATGAAACTGAAATAAATACAATGAAAATGTTAAGATCTAGCTAAAGAGTGTTACCTGTGAAAGTCAAGCTTAAGGATCACTGTTAAAACTGAAGATTAACAAAAGTACATGATCGGGGAATGAGTGTCAAGCCTCTAGAATGATCCTGTGCTTCGGGGGAAACACTGCCCTGTATGGAGAAACAGAACTCAGTTCTGCGAGAGGGTGACATTGCCTTATTCTACCCCTAGCTCCCTGGATGTTGAAGAAAATTTGAAAGCCACAAAAAGTAGAAAAAAAACTTGTATTGTTGCACATTCCACCATAGCCTGAGTGAGGCCGTGCTGAATTCCTGGTGGCAATGCCCAGAGCTCATGAATGTTGAGGTGCTCTGCTTGTTGTGGGTGCTCTGCTTGGCGCCATGTCTGGTTTTTGGCCAGAAGTCTTTTGCAGGACTGAGTGTCCCCTTGCCAGCCTCCCAGCCAGGCCTGCATCTGCAGCTTGTTGAGCTGTTCACTGCTCACTGGGAGCTACAGCTTTCCCCAGCACTGGGTTATGCCTCTTGTTCGCCAGAGCCCAGTTTGTTGCTACAGCTTCATAGTTTCCTGCTCCACTGAATGGTCTGAGGGTGCCAGGTACTTCTCCTGGATGCCCAGGGTGCTGAGGGATGGTGTGTCAAGGCTGAAAGCAAAGGCAAGAATAGGGAACTGGTCTGGGTGGAATCTGACCTCTACTGATGCTTGCCCTCCATCTGGCAGATTCCTTCCATCTCTCTCCCTTCCTCATAATTATAGCTTCGGGCAACAGAGACCAAATGGGTCTGAGAAGCCCCTCAAAGCATCCAGACCCAAATGCTCCTATATTTACCAATTTCCCACAAATGCTCCTATATTCACCAATTCCTCATTGCTGAGGCTCAAAGGACCAGAGAGTGCTAGTTCTGTGTTATGACACATGCTCAGAGCCAGACCACAATGGTTTAAATCTTGGTTCTGCCGCTTCCCTTTTCTCATCTGTAAAATGAGTTATTATGAAGATCAAACGAGATAATAAATACAAAGTGCCTGGCATGGCACCTGGCACAGTAGGTACTTAAGAAATATTTGTGACATCTCTTTTTCTGCCAAGGGAGTGAACTCACAGGAGCTCAAAGAAAACGGCAAATTTCTGCTTGAGCCACAGGGTGCCTTCTACCTCCCTCTGGGACAGCAGAATAAAAATCAGATTCACAAAGGGAAAGACAATGACACCGCTGATGGAACCTGTGAGGTTTGGCCTGAGGTCTGGGTCTGGGAGGTTGACCACGGCTACGCTGGCCACCGTGGCTGCTCTAATTCTAGTGTCAGTAACTGCAATTCTACAACCAGAGAGACTGAGGTTTGAACTATTCTTCCAACACATGCTGAGTGAGGGACCTTGGACCTGTCATTCTGAGCTCCAATCACCTCACCTATGAAAGGGGACTGAATAAGAATTAAATGATATCCTGCAAATGGAGTATGTAGCCCATCAAATAATATTATTTTGAGTTCTTTCTTTACCATCTTATGGATCCATCCATCCATCCAAATTCATTTCACCCTAGTCTACGACCATGCCACCCTGAATGTGCCCGATTTCATCTGATCTCGAAAGCTAAGCAGGGTCGGGCCCAGTTAGTACTTCGATGGGGAGACCACCTAGGAATACTATGTGCACCAGGCATTAAAAAAAAATAAATCCATCTCACCCCTACACAAATTGACTCTGAACCGGTGCCCTTTCCTCTCCACTCTTCCTCAGGAGGTATGCCTTATTCCTGTAAAAGTTGGCCCTGAGGATTACTCAGGATCAGTGGAATCCATCTTTCTTGACTTGGAATAATCTCAAACCTGCCTTGTGTCTGGCCTGAAGCCCACGTTCCTGAGCAAGGCACCTGAAACCCTGCATTCTCTCTGTCCATCTGCCTGGCCCTAACATTGCTCCCCGACCAGAAGCCCTGTTTTGCCCACAAATCAGGCCATTCTACTTGCAACCCTCCAGACATGTCTCAACCTTGTACAGACTGTTCTCTTTGCCTTGAGCTCCCTTTCCCTCTCAACTGGCCTGGCTAATCCTCACTTTGAGATACTGTAACTCAAGTGGCACTACATCTATGAAGCTTTCTTCACCTACTCATTTCTCAGCAGAGCTGACTTTTCCCTTCTTTGTATCAATCCCTAATTATCTTATATAGAGTGAAGCTGAACCTGAAGGAGATTAAGGTGGTGGCTAGAATCTAAAGTCAGCACAAATGAATATGGTTATTAAAAATACTCTTAAAATTCCTTAAATCATTTATTAAATATAGTATATGTGGTTTTGTGAATAGAATCCTGTATAAAATGTATAAATGCATAAAATAATGTACAGTGTACAAAATATCACAGCACTATTGAAAGTGCCCTTCCCGTTTTTTGCTGAGAACATGCAGTTGAGTTTGCCAACATTTTATCTGCATATGTGAGGCAGTTCCTCAGTCCCTTCTTCAGATACCGCACAGTCTACTACCATCATTGATAGACTCATCTGTTTCTCTGTGAGCTTTGTTTCCCATGTGTGAAAGAGCCTACACAGATCATTAAGTGTTAGCTGGAACTACTTTCTTCTCTCCCCAAGGACTCTGGAGTGCCCCTTCTCCAGCATCCTGTAGATGCCAAATCTGAAACCAGCCTAGAGGGCTTGGACTTCCCTGTCCTGCCTCACCTGAAGCCTCTGTGACCCGAGAGACACCCATATGTGACCCTAGCCCCATCCCCACTGGTCCAGTTCCAAAGGTCTCTCAGACAGCTGATTGTCCGGGGACCCTCTCAAACAAACCTGCCGGCTCCCACCCCTTCCAGATACGTGACAAACCTTCCTCTTCCTTTCCTTGCTTCAGTGACCAGCACGACCACCCATACCACTGTCTAAGCCAGAATCTGGGTGTCTAAATTCTGCTCCAACTCCAACTATCCCATAACCATCTAGTCACCAAGTCTGGTAGCCTATCTCCTTAATATTTTTCCAATCCACATCCTTCTTTCTATTCTCAGTACTAATATTTCAACTCTTTTCATCTAGAGACTGAAAAAACCTCTCCTGCCCCCAATCACACCCCTTAAATACATTTTCCACACTTAGTGGGGCTTTTCAAAAATGTACATCTGATCATGTCACACCCTGCTCAACAATACTATGCTGGTTCCCACTGCTCACCCATGAGCTAAAGTCCATACACCTTAGCAGAGCACTCAAGCCCTCCATCACCAGCACAGCCTACCTCCCCTGCACCTCTGCATACCCCTTCACAGTCAAGACACTAGGCAAAGTGAACTCCTTGCATCTTTCCCAAATGACCAATGACCTTTCATCCCTGGGCCTCTGTATTTGTTGCTCCTTCTGATCAATATCCTCCCTTGCCATTGAGTACAACCAACTCTGAAGTCTTCTAAGGGACCAGCTTTTGCACATGAAAGACAGTCAGTCACCAAGGAGCCCAACTGGTCAACACAAAATCAGTCATTTACAAGGGTACATCTAGCCACTCCTGAGCCCCATGTCTCCCCCTCCTGGCTGTGGCTGAGAGGCTAGAGAACAAGGATACGAGGAGAAATGGAAGTCAGCTCCCATTGCAGCAGACATCATGGCTTCCAGGCTTCGTTGCTCTTGGACTCCAAAGCAGTAACCATTGGCTTTATCCACAGCCTGTAGGACCCGCTGGATACTCTCTTTGTCCTGGGTGGAGAGGAGAGAAACAACTCTGTGAGTAAACAGGTATGCATAATTGAGGTTGTACCAAACTGCTTATAAAACGCCCCCTCAATCTTGCCTCATGAAGCCTCTGTACATGCAGCTTCCCTGGCCTGGAGTACTTCTACATGTTCCCAGAGGCCTGGCTACATCCCATCTTTCCTGACCAACCCACCTAGATTAGAATAGACCCTAATAAGCTCCTCTATGAATACCCATGGTCCCCGGGGTTTATCCTTATTGTAGGTCTGCTTCTACCATCTTACTATTAATAAGTTACTAATTCAACTGCCTCCCCTACTTGACAGTGTACCCCTTGAGGTCAGCGACTCATCTGTTGAGGTATCCCCAGTGTCTGGCACAGTACTTAGCTAACAGTAGGCACCCAATAAATATGCATGTAACCTATTTGTTCATCCACAGAAAAGTAATAAGAATAGTTCATATATCACATGATGGGAAGGAGGGATCAAAATAATGCATTATAGTTTTAACACAATGCCTAGCATAGAAAGCTTTCAGTAAGTGGTAGTTGTTATGATTACTATTCTATGGTTCACATCTCCTCATTTTAGAGAAAAAAAAGTATGGCATTAAACAGAGAAGAGACAAGTTCACTCAAGTCCAAGCATTGCAGAATGAAATCTAACATGCACTGGTGTCTCCCAGGTTATCTTTGCAAGGTGAGAGGCACAGGGGTTGGGTACTATTTTGCCTATCACACAAAATCAAGAAGCAGTTGCCCACCTTGAAGGAGTCTTGAGACATGACCCTGGCCTTGGTCAAGTCTCTTGCTGGTGACTTTCTGACCTCATCCGTGCTCACATTGAGGAAGGAACATGTGTAGAGAGAACCTAACTACATAGAATAGATAGAGCCAACGTTTGGTCCATTCTCTTTAATGGAGTTCTGCCCACCAGAGCCCCTGGTCCCAAAACCAAGGGGACAAAATGATAGTCGGACTTAGGACAAAGACCATTGTTTGAGTCCTTGAAGCCTCCTGTACCCTTGGCTTGGTGAGAACCCAGGCACTGTCAGAGCCTATAGCTAAGGGAAGAGGCCTCTTAGTCCCAGGTACCTGGATATTGAGAGGAATGAAGGAGACCAGGCTGTAGTCTTCAATGAGCTGCACCAGTTTCTCATTGAGCTGACGGTAGTGGCGGAAAAAAGGGTCAGAAGCCAGGTGGTCGAGCAAATAGGAGAGGTCCAGGACCTCTGTGTAGTAGTCCAAGTTAAAGGCTAAGGAGAGAAAGAGCTAAGGTTCAGGAGCAGCTGGCATCAGGCTAAAGCCCTGAGGATAGGGACCATATTTTCTTTCTTGCTTCCTTTGCTGTCATTCATTCATTCGTTCATTTATTCAACAATGGCATTGAAATGAAGTTACTAAGAAGGAAATATTTGGTTTCACCAGTTGGCTCTGTCATTTACTATGTGGACAGGTACCCATCTCATGGGGCTGCTGTGAGGATTAAATGCTATAACCTCAGTGTCTGGTACAGAGAAGTGCTTGATCAATGGTGGTACCCACTAGAGTGCTTGGTCCTCTCTCATGAAACTCAGTCAGTAGTGCTCCCAGGTCTCGGCACATACGCTGTAAGGACTCTAGCAGGGTGGCCTCTGGGTAAATCACTTTCTCTTTCTGGGTTAGTTCCTTCTTAATGTAAAATGAGGAGACCAGACTAGATGACTCGGAGGCCCCTGACTCAGTTCTATGACTACAAACTTCCCACTAAGAGAAGGAAAGTGGGCCTCCCTGCACTGTCCATTTCAGCCTGGAAAACTCAAGCAATTGGGCTACTCAGCAGATCTAACCCAAAGCGAGGCAAGGGAATCACGCCATCAGAGATCGATCAACTCACTCCCTACACTGTGCCTCCCATGTTCTAATCAACTCTAATTAGAAACTGACACTTTTGTACCTGAAGGAAGAATGGATATTCCAACTTCTTGGACTGCCTGATAGATATGTTTCTCAATGAGAATTAAGAAACTGGAGCCAGGTACACTTGGATTTAGATTTCATCTCAGCTACCATACTAGCTGTGTGATTAACCTTGGGCTATTCACGTAAAGTCTCTTGGCCTCAACTGCCTCATCTGGTTTGCACATTAGTGAGGATGACTGTCAAAAGTCAGAGCTAGAAAGATCCAACCATTCAGGCTGGAGGCTGTGAAAGGGGAGAGGAGCTTGGGAGGACTGCATTATCTGGGCATATGTAAAATGGGGCTTCTAGGCTTGCGGAGAGAGGGACCAGGACTCTGGGCCCCTCCATGACCTGACTAGCAGCCAGTCGGCCTCCCTGGACATGACCCCTACACATCGCTGTCCTAACAACTTCGCTTCCTGCTCACTGCTGGTCCCTTCGGTTGTTCTTCTCTAGGTTCCTTTGTGGTTGGAGATACTATTTAGGGAAACTGATGCCCCCAGATCAGTAGATCACTAATTTTGCAGGAAAGAAATGTTGGCCATAGCGTCCTTATGCAACTGAGGTCCTTCTCCCTCAGTCCTCCCTACCTTGACAAGTGGCTCCTTTACCTGTTCACTGGCTCAGTCAGAAACCTGAGCATCATCCTTAATTCCTCTGTCTCCACGTCTAGTCCACAAAGAAATTCTATTTCTTGAGCAAGTTTTGAATCTATTTCCCATTTCCACTACCACTGCCTGGGCTGCTGTTAAAATCTCCTAAAGGAGCTCTGTTTTCATTCTTTTCCCTTTCAATTCATTCTCCACAAAGCAGCCAGAATCTTTTCAGTTCATGCTACTCCCTTGCTTAATATTCATGGATGTGTTTCCTGTGTACAGGTTCTGGGCCCTGCCTACTTCTCTGACTTCATTTCCTACCACTCTTCCCCTGACCACTATCTCAGCTACACGCCCTGCCCCCTGCCCCTACCCTTTTCCTTGAACAATAAAGATCTTTCCTGCCAAAGAGCCTTTACCCCTACTCGTCCCTCTTCCTAATAGTTCTCCTTTGGCTGGCTCCTCACCACTCTGGTCTCAGCTCAGATGGCACTGCTTACTCCTCACTCACTGTCCCATTATTTGGTTTTAATTCCTTCATAATACATATTACCATCTGTAGCTCCCTTGTCCCCCAAACCCAGAAGAGTATCTGGCACAAAATAAATGGGCAGGGGTCAGGACACCTGACTGTGGCAATGATCACCAAGCCATGAATGGCCCCTGGAGGCAGCTTCCTGCAGCTGAGATCTCTGCTTCACTCCGGCTCAGCCGCTGCCCTACACCTTGCCTACCCAGAACAGGAGCTCTTACCCAGCTTCCCATAGTGCTCAATGAGATCCATCTTGGAGAGGAGGTTGACATGGGGCAGCTCTATGTGCAGCATGGTGGCCAGGGAGGTACACAGAACTGAAATGAACTTGGCTGGGTCTGTGCAGTAGTGAGAATCTACCAGGTGGACAGCAGTCAGCTGGGAGGGGAGAAAGAGACAGGGTGAGAGTGGTCTGGGGAGGCAGGGAACATTCCATCAGGGCTATGTCTCCCCCTTCAGACTGGGGACTCCGGAGGACAGAGTGCAAGCCTTCCCCAATAGGCTCCTCCTTTCCTCCTTCTGTTTCATTCTAAGAGCCACACTCATCTCCTCCTCCCGGAAGATATGGGCGTTTTCTTACAAGATACCTCGCACTGAGCCTCCCAGTGGGCAACTGGTTCAATTCTCACTGCATCTGACTCTTTCACTTACTTTTGCCCGCCCCCCCCAACTCACAACAACAATCTCTATGCCACTTTCCACATAACTCTTTCCATACTTCCAATAATCCCAAATTGGGCACTAAAACACCCAGTTTACAGATGAGAAAACTGAGCTTCAGAGAGATAAACTGACTTACTCAGGACCAAAAAGCCAGTCAGTGGCAGGACCAGAATTAAAAATCGCACGTTATACTCGGCCCCTACATCGCTGTGTGACATGGGGGTGTGGCATGCCCCCCCCGCCCCCGTCTCAGTTCCTCCATTTACAAAATGGGCCTGCTCGACCCAAGACGCACCCTGAGATCCCACTGTGCCATCTGGGAGAAGATGCTGCGCAGGGCACCATGGTGCGTGCAGAGCTCAACTTGGCCTGGGCAGTCGAAAAGGAAGTAATGGCCACGGAGTGAATCAAGCTTGGCACGCAGCCAGTCCAGGTTGGCCTCCAGGTACTCCATGCAGTAGAGTAGGCCGCCGTTGGGGCCCAGGCACAGCGCGTCCATCACGTCGCCCAGCCCCACCAGCTCGCCCACGTCCACAGCGCACTCGTACGGAAGCCCCTCATTGGCCGGGTCCAGGTTCACTACCGCCACACGCCGGCCTAGCGAGCGCAGGAACTCACTCATACCCAGGCAGTACGTGGTCTTCCCTGAGCCCGGCGGGCCGATCACTGCCTGCCCAAAGGCCGTGGTCGGAGCGGCGCCCGCCATGGGAAGCACGCGATCCCGTATGCAGCAGGTAAGCTCTGCAGGGAAACAGGGCGGCCGGGCACGCCTGAGACGAAAGCCGAGGGCGACAGAATCCCCGACGTAAACTTCGTGGAGGGTCAGCGGTGATGCCCGGGGTCGCCTAAGGAATAATAGCAAGGAACCGAGTAATGCAAGAAGAGCAAACGTCCCGGCACGGGCCGGATCAACACCTACTTCCGGACGACGACGGAAACTGCCGTCGCGGAAGTTCCGCCTTCTCAGTGACGACACAGCTTCGCGCCGAGGGGCGTGGCTGTGTGCCGCTTTTCAACCCCAGCGAAGGAAACGTTTTCCTCCGACCTTCCTCCAGGCTCAAATCAGAAGAGAAATCCGATCATAAACTTCTTTATTTTCCCATTCCCAGAGCACCTCCCGCAGATTCTCCGCTGCCTGGTCCCAGCCAGGTAGGGATAGAGGTGGTGGAGGGCCCGTCCCAAGACCGTCTCTCCTGAGCACCACAAATCCTCTCCTCTTCCAGCTCTCTGGCTTTCATGATGACAAGGAACGCTGTTCTGATAACCTCAGTCAATCCAGCTTTTCAGGGTACTGGGATAGGCAACAGGGGCAAGCCCAAAGAGGGACCCAGGGTTAGGCGACCAAAGAGAAGAGGTCATCAAGCCCTAATATAGAAGGGCAGGGTAGGGGCTTTTTGTAAAAATGCCCTTGAGGTAGAGATCCAGAAGGCAAGTTCTGAACAAAGCACCCTGAACAAGCCCCGCGATTGCTACTCCCAGACTTCTGTTTTGGTGGGAGATGAGGCCAGGGCAGAGGGCTGCCACTGTGCAGTTAAGAGTGATCTTGACTAAGGAAGCCCCTGAACCTGTCACTCAGGCTCGCTGGAGCTGTCCAAGGCACAGCTGGAACCCCTCACAAAGGTCATATTTGTCCGAAACTTCATGCTGGTGGGTGGCTGGCTGCGGAGCAGTGACTCCCCTTGGTCCTGGGGTAGAGGCTCATCATAGATGGTGGAGATGAGTCCCAAACCAGTTCCACGGGGCCTCTTCAGTTGCCCAAATGGCTGTAGCTTCTCTCCATGGTACCTGAATTAAAAAGGGTCTCTCAGTGAGAAGGCTGGTCTCTCTCAAACCCCAGTAAAAAGGGTTGGGAAGGGACAGGGAAGTAGCTACTACAAATCTGGTTTATTCTAAAGACAAGAGCCTCTAAATCTGAATCTTTGCTCTCCAGCCCCCTTATCTGTCCATCAACCTTGCCAGCAACTAGAGGTCTCACATATTGCTTTCATTTTAAATAGTACACAAAGTTTAGAACAACTGTCACTACTCTGACTTACTTATAGTCACTTTCTAATGGCAATCAGGTCCAAATTCCTAAGACTAAAGATCCAGACTTACTTTTTCTTTCTAACTCTGCTTTAAAGTTCATTCCTAGAAGTCCCCAGCACCCATCCCAAAACCGGAGGGAAGAAGGAACCAGGGTACAGCTGAAAGGCTCACTTGCGCTCCCAGGAAAGTTTCTCAGCTATACTCACCCCAATCCATGCTTGCATCTAGGGTGCTGGCCATCACTATCCAGGGCCTCAGGCACCCCTGAGCACTGGCTGCCCAGACCCTGGCCCTCAGCCCAGCCCTGCTGCTCCATCACCTTCCGTCCAATGCCCTGCAGAGGGAAAGGAGAAGACTCAAGAGATGGGGCTCTTAAGTGGGAGAGGGAAGGGAGAAGGGAAGGAATGGAGATAGAGAAGGAAAAGGAGTCAATGGACTGGGCACAGTGCTCACCTTGGTGTGGCGCTCAAAGGTGCCCACCTGGCGTTCAATCACAGAGCCATTCTCCTGACCATCACGGAGTCTCTGTTCCAGACGCATTTGGACAGAGTCTCGGGCATCCTTGTCTCCACCATCTGAGGAAGCAGAGCCCAGTTTGCAGAGGGGGTCTCTCTCAGCAGGAGGAGGAACAATCAGGTTTCTAGGACTTCCTCACAAGATTTATGTATTCATCTTTATGGTGTTTTATTACTTTACTATTCTCTCATTAGACTAGAAGCTTGCCAAGAGTAGGAACCATGGCTCTCCTATCTTACAGATGAGGAAATTGTGGTACAGAAAAAGCATAGACCCAACAAGAGAGAATTAGAACCCAGGTCTTCACCTTTCCACCACCACTCCAGTTCATTTTTGACTCTACAGTATAAATTTTTAACCAGAGCCTGAGCTCCTGATCCTCCCACTTGATCAGGGCCTGCCCATCAGACCAAGAGCTCCCTAAGGGCTGTCCCCACGTGTCCTTGCTCCACAAAGAAAGGAAAAAGGCTCTGCCTACAACCAGCACTTGATGTGCTCAACTAGAGATGTCTTAAGAGAGGAAACCTCTCAGTGAGCTACCCCAAGGGAACTGGTGTCCTGTCTCAGCCTCTACTAAGCAGGTCGGATAAAGTGTCACTGCAAGGCCAAGGCACCAGTTTAACCTCCCAGCACTGCAACCCCTGGCCCAGTACCAGTACCTCTGTCGTAGTACACACTCATGTCCACATCCCAGTCATCAGCTGTCTGTTCATCAAAGTCTGCAGATATAAAAGCATCAAGCAAAGTAAGCCAAGGATTCTCAGTTCTGTTGAGAGTTAAATCTAGACTTAGACATATGTTCTAGAACTTGGGGCTTTGCTTTGTAGTTTTAAATCTCTCCTCTGAGAGGATCATTCAGAATTTGCAGGAGGTCTTTTCTATCCACTCCACTGATTTCCTCACCTCTAAAAAGGATGACTGGTCTCTCATAAACAGTCAAGGTAAGCCACTTCCCTAGCCCTTCATTTGGGCCCACTACCAGGGAATCCACCCTGTGGAATAGAGAGCCCTGAGCAAATGCAGCAGGGATCACTCCCGCCCTTGTCTGGTTCCAGCATTACCTCCTTCTTCTTCCTGCCAGAACTGGGCATCAGTGTAGAACACCAGGCCGGAGCCACCCTTCTCCCACTTGAGCTCGATCTCCTCCTCAAAGAGCCGCTCAGCAGTACGCTCCTGTCTGGTCACGTCCTCATGTAGCGCTTCATGTCGCTCCCACTCCTCACCCCGGTCATCATCCTGGAAGAAGGTGGGGAGTGGAGACCTGCTTGTCTAGCTTCCTGACCTTATGCCCACAAGGAGGGCAGCTCAGGACACAAAAGGCCTGTGAGATGGGCCCACAGCATCATTGCTCCAAATTTTTTTGAGATACAACACATATTAGGCCCTTGAGGCCTTGACCAACACATCTCTCCATCCTATTTCTCAACGTACTTGCTCCTTCCCCTGACGGGCCTGACTCACTCATATTTCTGTGCTTTCGGTCATATCGTTCCCTTTGCCTGAAATATCTGACCTCCTCTCTCAGCACCTTTTCTTCACTTGAGTAAATCCTCATCCCTCAAGTTCTACAGCCTCCATGGAGCCACCCACACTGAGGCCCAAATCACTATCACTGGTCTCTGAAATTGTCAGTGCTAAACAGTACACACTATTTAGGCCTTTAGACATGATGTCACAAAGGAAGAAAGGATAAGAACTAATACCTATTGTCTACTGTGTGTCAGGCCCTTTCACATAACTTCATTCCTTTAATCACCCCAACAACCCTATGAGGTTAAGTACCATTATCCTCATTCTACAGATGAGGAAACCTGAGTTCAGGGGAGTAAAGTGATTTGCCCAAGATAGTACACCAAGAGAGTAGCAGAGCTGGCATTCAACCTAGCTCACCACAACATATGGCCGTTCCAGATGCTGGTTCTCTCCAGGGAGATTGAAGGCTCTTTTGAGGGCAGGAAATGGATCTTAGAATATCTTTGGAATCCTGTGCTAGCCCCTATGTTTACAACTGTTTGACTGGACTTGTAGAATGATAGGATGACTCCTGCCTTGAAATCTTGGAGGCCCCTGTCCCAGTTAAATTCCATGAAGTTTCAGGAATCACTGCTGCAGAGCAGGTGCTGGAGAAAAGTTAAGACAGTACCACACAAGGCGGTGTTCCAGATTTGTTAGCAACTGTGCACTTGGAGTTTTAAAGAAATAGGTAAATTATTTTTAACCCAGAGTGTGTATTAAAGAAAGAAAAAAAAGTTCCCAGCAAATTATAACTCTCCAGATTTTATGGATGCATAACCAAGTTTAGAGAAAGAAGTAGAAAAATTGTGTATTTCATTGATAAAATCAGAGTGGAGGCTAGTGTTCAATCCAGACTCAAGGTCAGAAAATAGAGGTGACTTTTCAGCCACATAATAAAAGCACATGGAGGTTAGACAAGCAGTGAAGGAGACTGGGTTCACATCCCAGCTCTGCCTCTACTTCCTTAGATGATCTTATCTCTTGGTTGTAGATTTTCATTTATGAAAAGGACCCTCCTACAGTCCTTCTGAGGAAATGAAAAAGAAGATCCCTGTGAGACTCTTCTTATAAGAGTTTTGGCCCCTCTCCCCAAAGAAATGCATATTTGCACATGTAAATACAGTTTTACCTTCAATGTGAGGGAGTTCTGACTCTTTGGAACCCTTCCGAGGACCCTGGGTTTAGAACTCTTGTAATGTACAATTGAAGAGTGGTATTATTAATGCCTTGGTCTCCCCTCTAAGCTGCCAGCATGGCTCACTGTACTCACGTCATCTGAGTGTGACTCTTCTTCCTCCTCTTTTTCCCCTTCCTCCTTGGGCTTGCCACAGGGGCTGTCTGGTACATCCATCAGGCAGGTTCCCTGGGGTATTTCCTCACCCTCAGCTGTGTACACAAGCTCTTCCTGCTCCACAGTCTCTGCATCCTCATACTTGAAGGGCACATTGCCGTAGCGCCGGGAAGAGCCTGTCTTGGGGAACTGGAGCTGAAGCTGGGTGATGATCCGAGGGGGCAGGCGGCAGGCCCGGATCAACTCCAAAAAGACTTGCAGTGGAGTCCCGACATTTCCATTGGGCATCAGCACCGGTGGGTCCAGCTCTGGCAGTTGCCTCAGGTCGGCCAAAGTGAAAGCTTCACTCTTAGCCTTCCGACTCTGTAGTTCCTTTCGGGTCTTGAAGGGAAATGAGCCCAAACCTTGGGAAGCAGGGAGAAGAAAGGTTCTTGAAAACTAGAAGCCTCCAGCAACACTTGAGCCAGAAATTGGTCCAGGTTTAAATCCTTTAGCCTAAAGCAATTGCTCCCTTTCAAACTTCTCCAGAATCCCTTCCTCTGTTCCCTGACCAGAACCACCTAGTAATTTCATGCCATTTCTTATCACCTCACCTGA